GGAAAAAGGGATATTCACCAACATTTCTACAGTGTCACCTGTTTTCTTTCTTCCAGTCTTTGTCCATATATTTTTTAAAAAGTAACATAACTATAATGAGAGCGTAGATTCCACATTCTGTGTTCTTTTTCCACTTAGTATTATATAATAAACATTTTCCACCACAAAGAATTTGCCATGAATCTTATGGACACTTGGCAAAGCCCAGATGTGTTTTACCTCCTTTAGGGGAGAGCTATCATTGGGGCCTTTAGATTGAGTCTTCCTGTTGGCCTTGAGACATTCCAAATACTCAGGTAGATTCAATCAGTCTACACCGCAGAATGTTATGTGGGCCCTGAGAAAACTACAGAAGTTTATAAAGAGTAAGTTGGTTTGGTGTTAACCAGAAAATATTTTCAGTTCCCCGCTTTGACAAAACCATAATACCAATTCACCTTCTTAAATTTCAGAAACATACTATTTGTGCTTCCACAGCCACGGAACCAGCACCCAAATCAAGAAACAATATAAATTTTGGCTATTTTTTTGTACTTTATACAAATGGAATCATATAATATGCACTTTTTTTGGGTATGGCTTCTTTCATACAGTATTAGGTTTGTGAAGTTCATCTGTGTTGTGTGTAGTTCATGCCTATTCTTTGTGTAGTGTTCCAATGTATGACTGTACTACAATTTTTAAAAATCTTTTTACTCCTGATGGACAGTAACATTTCCATTTGGGGGCTATTACAAATAATGCTGCAGTGAACATTCTTACACATATCTTTGGGTGCATACGGTACATGTTCACATTTCCAAGTAGAATTACTGGGTCATAGAATACAACTGCACTCAGCTTTAGTAGATACTGTTAAAACACAGGTTGTACCAATTTACATTCCTATCAGCAGTGGTTCCACACCCTTGCTAACTTTGTCTTGTTCATTTTAGCCATTCTAATGGATGTATTAGAATGTGGTATTACATTTGGTTCTAATTTGCATTTCCCTGATGACTAATGTAGTTAAGCACCTTTTGAAGTGGTTATTGGCCATTGGGACATCCTTTTTGTGAAGTGCAAGTCTTGACCAATTTTCTACTGGGTTGTTTGCATTTTTTCTTTTGATTCCCAGGAGTTCTTTCTATATTCTGAATACCAGTCCTTTGTTTATTACAAAGATTTTGTACTCTGTCTCGTATTTTATTTTTCTCCACTTCCCAGTTTATTTTGTTGATTGTTTTTGCTTCATCCCAAACCAACAGATTCTAAAGTTTAAACTGGTTAAATAGACAAAAAGCCAAGTTGGGTATGTCACGGTAAATGCTGCTGCTTTCACCACTCTACTTAACTCACCTATGTCATCTCTGATGATGAATCTTACTAGATGCACAATAAGAAATACTCTTATGCTGCTTAATGTTCAGGTCCTGACCAAGAAGAAGACAACCTTCTTTGGGGGCAATTCGCTTTCTATGATTGATTACCTCATCTGGCCCTGGTTTGAACGACTGGAAGCAATGGAGTTAAATGAGTAAGACCTTTGAATGTTTTGTGCATAATTTAGGATAATGATAATTGGAATAGTATATATTGACCTTTATTCTGAACAGAAATTAAAATATTTCATACAACTGGTATGAACGGGGACAAGCAGACAGGAGGAGAGAGTTAGGCATGTCATATACCTATATTCACCACTCGTCCCCATCTGGGAGGGCCAGGAATTCTGTGACATGTAGTAAAGTGTTTTAAAAGTAATTTATTCCTTCCCTCCTGGTTAAAAATCCATAAGGATGTACATTTCTGTAAGACTGTCATGCAGGATTCTATGGTCAATGCTACTTCCCATTTATCAGTTAGATTCCCATACTATTTTCCAAGTTGCATATTTTGAAGTTTGGCAGCCGCCTTGGCTTACTCCCAACTCAGAGCTTAGAGCTATTCAGAGTTCCTTTTTTTTATTATTATTTAAAATTTTTTTCATTTATTAAAAACACTTTTTTAATTGAAGTTTAGTTGGTATACAATATTATGTTAGTTTCAGGTGTACAATGTAATGATTCAACATTTATATACCTTACAATGCGATTACCATAATAAGTCTAGTAATCATCTGTTACTGTGCAAACTTATCACAATATTATTGACTATATTCCCCTTTACCTTTATTACCCATTCCTCTCTGGCAACCATCAGTTTGATCTCTTTTTTAGTTTTCATTACAATTGACATACAATATTATATTAGTTTCGGGGTGTATAACACAGTGATTAGACATATATATAACTTATGAAGTGATTACCCCACTAAGTCTAGTACCCATCTGACACCATATATAGTTATTATAATATTACTGACTATATTACCTATGCTGTACTTTATATCCCTGTAACTATTTTTATAATTGGCAACTTGTACTTCTTAATNGCTTATCTCCAAATCTTCTTTCGTGTATCTGCTCAGATATTGCTGCTTTCCAGAAGCTTGTCCTGATGGGATGAGTGCCCAGCTCTGTTCCCACATATAGTGGGTTGTCAGAAAAGTCATGATGAATTTTTGCAACGAAAAACAGAAAAATATGTCATAACTTTTCCGACAACCCAATACCAGCATTTCCCTGTCCGTGACTGTCTGCCCTCCGGCCTGTGTGTTGCACCAGGGCTGTAAACAACTTGAGGGTGAGGGCAGTGTTTCCATCACTGTTGGCTCACTGCCTACCTAGGTTTGTGACCAGCTCTGCCACTTCCAAGTTCTGTGACTCTTAGCAAGTTACGTATTGCTTTACCTCTGTGCCTCAGCTCATCATTTGTAAGATGAATAGAGTTGCTCCCTCCTCATAGATAAGAATCAGTTCATAGAAAACACTGAGAGCAGAGTCTGACACATGGTAAATAGTGTCAGTTGTTGTTCTAACCAGTGTCTAGCCATGAGCATCTACTCAGTCTTGGCAACAGCTCTCAGCTGACTGAGTCAATGGCATTCCTGTAGAAGAACTGTTTGTGTCTTGGTTACCGTCAATGTTGTAGATTAGTTCAAGCAATTAGTATTAACAAAGACATGACCAATAGTGGACAAAAAGAATAGCAATGTCAGGTGATAGCTCTATAATCTTGTTTCCTTATCAGCATATATGACAGCATGCAAAGAAATACCTTGTCTCTGCATAAAGAAATGGTTAAAGAAATACCTCAAAAATGGGACTTATAGGGAAGACATTGTTTAAGGAGACATTGCAAAGGGAAGCCAATGGATAAGAAAGAGGGAGTTGTCTGGCTTAGCAGGATGAGGGGGAAAGAGTAGTAGAGATGGTGGACAGGAAATATGGCATTTACAAGAAAGATGTTGGAGAATTAGAAAAAAAGTAACGAGATTCATTGTACCATCTAGAAAGAAAATGAGCTAAAAGCTGGAGATGTCCACTGTTGCTTTCCTGCTCACATTCAGCAAAGAGGGTACCATATGACCCCACCCTCCTGGCCACAGCTCTGCAAACCAGAAATGTCCTCACCCACACCTCCAACTCAATCACCTTCTCTTCTAGAAACATGGAACTGAGATACAGAGACTAAGGCAATAAAGATGTGAAGGGTTTGGAGCCATATATATAATTGGAGACTTGACAAACCAAAGCCCCATAAAAAATAAAATTTTAGGGAAGTAGAAATTAAGAGCACTGCAAAGGGAACTGTATATAGAAAAGAATATGTGACAGATATTTAAGGAGAAGTAGAGGAAAGACCAGGCAGGCCCCAAGTGGAAACGTGGACGGAACTGCTGCCTGCAAACCTTCAGTTCCAATGAGGGGCAAGCTATACTGACATCAACGGGATTTCAGGGCACTCTCCTGTATTTTTATGAGTACCTGCTTGCTTAAACTGGGATGAGTGGACTTCTGTCTCTTTTGGTGAGATGGTATATATCAAAGACCGAAGTATGAAAACACACAAACCGCCACAAGC